CCTACAGGATTTTATGGGGAAAGGAAAGAAAAGCAATAAAGTTTCATAGGCTAGAGACTCCTAGAGAGAGAAATGCCTCAATATCAGACCTTCTGCATGCTTTCTGTGTATATCAACCACCTATTTACTCTGGGTTCACCAGCCTCAAATGCAGGTAAAAAATTATGGATATGAAAAATAAAAATACTATAATAATTTCTTCTAGTTTCTCTGAACCTTTTTTTTTTTTTTAAAGATTTTATTTGAGAGAGAGAGAGAGCGAGCACACAAGCAGGGGGAGCTGCAGAGGGAGAGGGAGAAGCAGGCTCCCCACTGAGCAGGGAGCCCGATTGGGTGGGGCTCGATCCCATGATCCTGGGCTGAAGGTAGATGCTTAACCAACTGAGCCACCCAGCCGCCCCTGAATTTTATTTTCTTAAATCTTCAAGTACTTCATTGGCTCCCAGCTAGCAAGTTGTTCTATAGCATTAAGCATATGGCAGACATTGGGTGTGGCAGTGTCCATGGGAAGAGCTTTCACCGAGTTGCTTTACAGGTCAAGTAATCTTAAAGCTAAAATCCCCAAATTCCATGTTAATGTAAAATTCTTTAATAAATGCTTGTATCTTCACCTTGTGACATCTAGACCTTATACTTGCTCAGTTATTAGTATTGAAACTTTTATACATTATCTCATTTAATCCTTACAGTGACCCTGTTAAGAAAGATGCTACTATTATTTCCTTTTGTTTTTCAGATGAAAAAACTAAAGTTTACAGAGCTAAAGTAGTGCAATTTCAGATGGTTAATAATTGGCAAGTCAGGATTCACACAGGACTGTCACCTTTTAGTATACGCAAAGCATCATGAGCCGCTATGCTCCTTTGCCTTATTTAAAAGTGATTTTATTGATGTATTTCTTCCATTCTATATTTGGACTTATGCTCTTGTTTTATGCTGACTATAAGAGCATGAGGCCAACCACTTTCTGCTTTCTAATGATGGGCACAGCCTTTGTTTTCTGAAAATTCTAAACCTGAAGCCAAGTGCCCAATGTATTTTGTCTTTTCATAAGACTCCACAGCATGTATATCATTTTACACTGAATTTATTTTTGTTTTTTCCAGGATCACGGCCTTAGGGTGAGAGCATACACAAAGTTCCTAAGACCTAAAATTGAACCCAGAGCCAGATTAAATACTCAAATATGGCAGTCATTTTATTTTAGGTTCCCCCCAGAAATATTTTATCTTCTCTATTTGTTGAATGTATCCTATTTTCTAAAGAGCATGCTTGATACTTGGAACACATTTAGTTGAGGTTGGCCTTATAGGCTAGCATGTAAACTAAATGGATAGACAGGCAGCCGAGCCAGTGGTGATTGATAAATGTTTAAGAATTCCACGAGGCAGTTGCTTGAAATAAGCCATGTTAGGAATATTTACACCATAGAAATCTGCTAATATTACAGGTCAGGTGTGGTGGTGGTGGTGTTCCTATTTGTTTTGTTTGTTTTCCATAGGGAGGGAGAAAATGTGACCACTGGGTTAGGGAGCCTCTATTTCTGTTAAGGAAGAGGTAAGATCATATGCTGAGAGTGGAGGTTAATGGGGTGAGGTAAGTGACTTGAAGAAAATAGAAATTTTTGGAATCACTCTTGAGAAAAATAGGAAAGAAAAGAGATTGAGACCAAGAGAGACGATTGCAGCTGTTAGAGGTACGTAAATTGCCATGCAAAGTTGGTAAAATTATGAATTTCACGTGAAATTTATATGTTTTGGATAATAAAAATTATAGAGAAAAATGAGGATTCTGATTAAGTGGCTTTCCCATTAAATTATGTAGAAAGGAACCATTTTAGGTAAATTGGCCTCGTTTACGGATGAATTCTCTTGTATCTCTTGCAAGGATGAATTTTGTTGTGCATAATTGTATCCTCTGATCCGTCAATTAAGTGTTTTTAAAAGTAACAATGATGCATTCCATTTGGATAATGTATTACATTTTACAAAGTGCTTTCACTGTACATTATCTTTTGATCTCATTTATTGTTGATCCCTGGTTGACATATTACTACCCACTGTATTTCAGTGAAGCTACTACACCTTCTGTCATACACTTTGAAGGAAGAGTCATATAAATGCAAATTTAAGTTTATCTCTGATGACTTTGAGATAAACAGACCAAGCCTGAAGGAAAATAATAAACCCAAAGGGTTGGAAATTCGTGGCAAATTGCAGCTACCTCAGAAATAGTTTCATTAGAAAAATCAGGTTCGATAAACAATAGGCGGTGGAAAGTGCTTGTAGATCGGTGACAAAAATTACAGATTTGTCTCTACGTCTCCAAACTACATAGATTTAAGTTGAATCATTTCCCTCAGATCAAAATATGTAAAAGTAAAAGTAGAACTTTTAAAATGCCACATATCTTTTTCTAGAAATAACAGATAAAAGGTTTAAACATAAGCCTCTGTTAACCTGCTCTCCCCAGAATAGTGGTTTCACAGTTGATGGTTTGTATGTTGTCCACAAATTAGAGTTCTCTGCTCCAACATCAAGAGCATTGGTGAAAGATTTCACAGCAAATTGTTACGCTTTCTTAATTAACTCTTTTAAAAAAAAATTCAGGAGGCGGTTGTTAAGTACAGAGATTTGATTCCTTTAGATAAAAAATTTCTCGTTATATTCTACCTTTGAATTTGGTAGTGATTACTTAAATGAGTATTATTACATGGGTGGTCGTCTGCTGGCTCTTCCTGAATTTAGAAAAATAATCCAAAATATATTTAACTCAAGGACTTGAACACTTTTTTTCTGTAGCCTTTGGGAGCACTGAGAGCCAAAACAATAATAGTTACTTAGAAATTTGGGGGAGAGTTAAATTTTATGGCATTTCTCACCTGTTGAACAAATGTTCTAGGATGGCTGTCACATATCAAACTTTTGGGGCACTTTGAATCTTGCAGTAATTTTTTCAAGGCAGCACTGCCTTTTCTTTCTGCTTAATGAATATTTCAGTACTTGAAGTAAAATATGCCTATTGGGTAGCTGGGACTATTCAAGTAGCCTAAGCTAGTTTTACTGTATAAGAATTACGCATGCACAGTTAAACCATTGTTGATAAATTACAAACATGCTTAATTATTTAAGGATATGCAATTTACAGATGCGTAGCTTTTCTATGGCCTGTTTTAACAGATGACTAGGGCATTTAGAATGTCCTTTCAAATTACCTTAAATGTAATGCAGTCATTTTTAGTATTTTTTTTTAATGTGGTTTAAGTCCTCAAAGTTTTTTTTTTTCTTGTTTTTGTTTTGTTGTTGTTGTTTTAAGATAAAGATGGGGAATCTGCTCTTTATACCATTAGGATATTCATCCCTTTAACTTTGTCTAATTATACCTTGGTTATTATGAATGTGTTTTTTCCACTTTAGGAAACAAACGTCATACTTTCAAATAAATCAAGATTTTCACTAAAGTACTCCTGTTGAATATGAGTTTATTATAAGGAAAGCTAACGGCTGACCTTTTCCTCTTTGTCTTAGCTTCTGTGCTTCATTTGGGCTTAAAATACTTAGATTCAGAGAACATTAGTGAGGCTATCCCTTGTGATAGAAATCATGCAGATAAATTGTCTTATTTAATCTCTAAACATTTTACCAGATATTAATATGCCTATTTCAGAAATATATTTCAAAAAATTGTAAGTTGGGTAATACAGTCATGTAGATGAAAATTGGAACTGTTACTAGCTGTGAACATGAGTTTTGTTCTTTATTCTTTTCACTACATTACCTTTGTTTGGCACCCCAAAATATTTGGTATCAGCAGTGGCAGCTTCTGCAACACTGGTCCATGGGGTTTTGCTTTCTCATTTAAAACTCACTAAGGAGCCATGAGAGTTGGGATCATGGTTCATTGTTAACTTGTCGTATAATATTGCACAACCCAGAGGCCACAGAGAGCACTGAAAATACCTGGCGGGTAGCTGGAAAAGGTGAGGGATCCAAGAATGGACCTTTGGAAATCCTTCATTGCCAGAAGGATTAGTGTTATAAACAAAAATGCCCAGAAAGTTGAGACCAATCATAAAAAAAAATAAAAAATAAAAAAAATCCTGGAAATCAAAAAGGGTTTTTGAGTAGAATGAATTTATCCTATTAAAAACTATGGCCAGGGGCGCCTGGGTGGCTCAGTTGGTTAAGCGACTGCCTTCGGCTCAGGTCATGATCCTGGAGTCACGGGATCGAGTCCCGCATCGGGCTCCCTGCTCGGCGGGGGGTCTGCTTCTCCCTCTGACCTTCCTCCCTCTCATTCTCTCTGTCTCAAATAAATAAATAAAATCTTTAAAAAAAAAAAAAAAAACTATGGCCATATCACAAAGTGAGAGTTGAGGCCTGTGATCTATCATGTATTTAGAGGTCATCTACCCACTGGTTTCTAAATCCTTTTTAAACAACAGAATCACTTTAATTCCAAGTAAAATCTTACCCTGGATTTCAATATATAAGAGAGAATGGTGGTATTTATTTTACAAAAAGAATTTAAGCACTTAATTATGGTAAGTTCCATCATTAAAAATAATTAAGCACTTTGAACGCAAGTATTTGAAATACTGACTTTGGGGAGACATTTGCCATATATATCCTATCTATTTCTCAGTTTTGTTTTGCAGGTGGTATATGCCATATTTGACTGTGTGCATTCTTTTTAGCTCTTTGAAAATTCAAACCATATATTTGCACAACCCCTGATTTAATCAAATAATACAACTGTGACAAAACTGGGAATCATGGAAGTCCATTTACTTGCCATTAACACAAAGGCTGGTTCTGAATCTCAGCCTAGATATTTTGTCCAGCAGCATTTATATTGTCCTGATGTTCTGTGAAGAAGGTACCCTGACTCCTCAGAATGAAACCACTTATTCATTCTCCTATTCCTTCTTTCTCTCCCTCTTGGGCCATCAAAAAGTAACTTTATGTGCATTTACGTCACCACTGATTTTTCCATTATAGGAGCAGCAGAAAAGAGTTCTAAGCATGGTGCCGAAGACAAGACTCAGACCATTATTATGGCTATGAAAGAAAGAATGAAGATTAGGGAGAAAAATAGGCCGGAGGTGTTTGAAGTAATTCAGGAAATGTTTCAGATTTCTAAAGAAGATTTTGTGCAGTACACAAAAGCAGCCAAGCAGAGTGTACTGGATGGGACATCTAAGTGGTCAGCAAAAATAACCATTACAGGTAAAAATAGTTGTCTTGAAAATTTTGATTCCACATTGAGATTTTTGTGTGTCTTAGAAATCACTGTTTAATAATAATTATAGGTAAAATAAGTAGAATGTTTTCAAACTTGTCAATATTGGTAAGACATGTAGTTGGTACTTGAAATTTCTAAAATATATACTAGATAATTGAAGTAATTGCAATTTACTCTAATCAAAAGCTCTTCTAGAGGAAGAAGTTTCTCTTTTACAACATATTCATCAATATCCCGCAATTAGCTTTGATAACTGATAAATTACACCACTGATAAATTACAAGAGTAGCCAAAAATCTCTCTAGTCAGTTTTCCTTAATGAGAAAACACACATCATTTTACTTAATCCTTGATCAGTACCCCTCAAACATTTGATCCTTGAGTCAAGGCAGTTTGAGCTTAGTGATGTGTAGTAATTTGAACTTCTTAGGTTGCCTATAACAACAGCAAGTGCATATATGTTGTGTTAATGTTTACCAAGCCTCTTAACTTACTCATATGTTACTTGTAAGATAAAATAAAGTTGCTTTTTTTTTTTTTTTAACTAGGTTGAGTTGTTCAGTAGTGACAGCAAACTCACAAATAGAAATATATTTTAAATCACAGACCTTTGAATTATGTTGGATGCCTTTTGGCATATTGTATGTGCATCTTTATTTTTCTATACATTTATGTAGTAATGTGTATATAAGTATATAGCTGGTGTGAGTATGAAAGTATATGTATATGGCTGCTACTCATTGCAGACAAAAGCAAATATTTACTCAAGGAAGGTTTTAATAGTCAGTGTTTTCATTCTTTCATTGAATATTTTTAAGTCCTAATGTTCATTTCCTCAATAAAGGAAATAGGTTTGGAAAATCAGTTGGGACCAAATAACGGGATGCCATAGAATGAGTTTGGATAGTTCCTCCCTTTATGCTGATGGAAGAAACTATTTTAGCATCCCTTTGCACAAACCTAGGGTGCAAAGTGTTAGAAAAACTGCCCTTTGTTATCATTTTTTGTTTGTTTGTTTGAGGAAATCTTTATATTAAAATTTCTATTTTGGTTTATTTCAGTGGTTTCGGCACAAGGCTTACAGGCAAAAGACAAAACAGGGTCGAGTGACCCATATGTTACTGTTCAAGTGGGAAAGAACAAAAGAAGAACGAAAACCATTTTTGGAAACTTGAATCCAGTATGGGATGAGAAGTTTTATTTGTAAGTATATCATGTGAAACTATTATAAGTATTGATATATTTGGGGATAAATTTAAGGCAGGCATGCAAAATATAGAAACAATAATTATCTCATATTTAATACTATCTAAGCAGAAATTATCAAAAGTGAAATTAATGTTATGAAGTCACTTAATACTCACATTTATTATTCTTTATCTTTGGAAGAAAGTGAATAAAAAGAGTATTTCAAACAAAAGGTGGCATGGTCGGGGTGACTATACAGGAGAAAAAAAAGATTAAAATATGATCTTTAACTTCGGTTGACCCAACATAATTTGGAATTTACTGGCTTGATTCAGCAATATACTGACATCGAAGATTTAGGACTAAGGACAGTAGAAAGATTTTGGGCATCACCTGGCCCATCACACCTACACCATGATGAAATGGTTGATGATAACGTTTACAACCTCTCACTGTCAGAGAGGTCATTTATTTTTAAGCCTCTTATATTTTGTACCAAATGGTAAGAAATTATTTTTCTGGCATAGGTTCTTTTCTTTCTAGAGACATAAGATGACTTTCCAATTAGCATTTGATAGAAATGAAAATTCTGAACGCTGAGTCCTTTCTTTTTCTTCCTTCCTTTCTATGCTGATGGTGTAAACAGGGATCTTGTTAACATACCAAGTGAGCAAACCCAACACATACAGCTTGTTTGGAAATGTAGGCAATAGTGAGTAAGAAAAGAGAGCTTTTGTATGTATGGGCTGATGGAGAGAGTGTTCAGAAATAGGTTTGGAAAATCAGTTGGGACCAAATAACAGGATGCCATAGAATGAGTTTGGATAGTTCCTCCCTTTACGCTGATGGAAGAAACTATTTTAGCATCACTTTGTTAACAGAAGACAAGAAATCAATTGATAGGGGCGCCAGGGTGGCTCAGTCATTTAAGCGTCTGCCTTCGGCTCAGGTCATGATCCCAGGGTCCTGGGATCGAGCCCCATGTCGGGCTCCCTGCTCAGCTGGGAGCCTGCTTCTCCCTCATCCAGCTCCCCCTGCTTGTGTTCTCTCTCTCGCTATGTCTCTCTCCGTCAAATAAATAAAATCTTTCAAAAAAAATCAATTGATAGTCATAAATTCAAATCTCTAAAGCAGTCAACTCAAATGAATCAAACAAGATAAGGGCAACAAAAAGGACAGGACTATGGCAAACTTAGAGCAAGTGACTTGGAAAAATACAGCTTCCATGGCCACATAATCATGCAGATGCAATGCAGCTAGAGCCCCCAGTTTCTCAGGAGAAGCTGGAAGTCTGAAAATTTAAAACCAGGTTTATTGAAGTAAAATTGACAAAATGTAAGTCTACATATTTAAAGTGTACTATTTGTTAAGTTTGATCTGCCTTATACCTCTATGGAGCCATCACCACTAACAGTATAACCAACATATCCCTAACCCCGTATTCATGCCCCAGTGAGGCCGTCTCTCTTAACTCCCTCCATGACAAGGCAATCACTGATCTCCTTTATGATGCTATGGAATACTTTTAATTTGGCATTTTGTAGATTTTTATAAAAATAGAGCATGCACTATGCATTCTTCTTTTGTGTGGTTTGATTGACTCAGTGTAATTATTTTGAAACCCATCCATGTTGTAGGATTCAGCAATAGATCATTTCTTTGTATTGCTGCGTAGCATTTCATTGTAATAAAATATCAAAGTTTTTTTTTTATTCTTATGTTAATCCCCATACATTACATCATTAGTTTTAGATGAAGTGTTCCATGATTCATTGTTTGTGCATAACACCCAGTGCTCC